CAGGGTTTAGGCATCCCTCCCGCCCGTGGGAGGTGGGGCCGCCCCAGCCGCACCCCACCCTGCCTCCAGTGCTCCTCCCACCCCCCTATCCTGGAACCTCAGGCCACATCCTTGCTAACTCGCCTCCCTGCCCCTGGGCGCTGAGCATCCCGGTGGCGTCCCCTCCCCTGTGGGGGCCTGCCAGGCCCCAGGAATTCTGATCCCAGTCGCCCCCGTCCCCCAGCCCAGCTCCAGGTGCTGGTCTAGCCCTTGGGGAGACTAAGTCCAGCGACTCCCCCTGTGCTCACTGGGAACTTGTACGTTGTCTTTCGGGGGATGTCCATTCACATCCATTGCCTGCTTTTTAATTAGGGAGATTGTCTCTTGGTTGCCGGGTTCCACGGATTCTTTATTAATTCTGGCACCAGATCTGTCTCACATATAGGATTTGCAAGTATTTTCTCCCACTCAGTGGGGTGTCTATTCACTCTCTTCTTGTACCCAAGCTTTAAATTTTGACCAGTTCAAGTTCACCTATTTTTTCTTTTGGTGCTTGGTCATATGTGTCATGTTGAAGAACCGAGTCCAAGGCCAGGAGACTAAGACTGGGGGTAGGGGGTGTGGAGTTAAAGCAGCAGCTGTGCTGAGGGCTTACTGTGGGGGTCTGGCAGCCCTTGGCAGTGCGAAGGGGGAGGATGCTTGTCCTAAGCCTGACGTTTGAGCAGGAGTTAGGGTTGGCGAAACTTCCAGGACAGGGAACAGCAGGTGCAAAGACAAGGAGGAGGCAAGAGTAAGTGAAAGACTTGCACCTTCCCTCTGGGGAGTCCCTGGGCAGCACCTACCCCAGTATTTTGGGTCTCAAGGTGGGGTGGGGGGGTCTGAGTAAGCGGGGAGGTCATTCCTGGGGGAATGTGAGACACCAGCCATCTACTTTAGTCTGTGATGACCCCCTTTGCAGACAAGGGACCTGAAACCCCCAGGGGTGTACCTTCCCTAAGGCTGCAGAGCCAGGGGTGACTACGATGCCAGTCCAGGCACTAGAGCTCCTGCTACCATGGGGTGGGTGTCACCAGGGAGGAGACAGGGCTCATGGCCTGAGTCCCTCCCTCATCTGAGGCCTCTCTGATTCTCCAGGTGCTTCTCTGTGGGCCTCCCTCCTTCCCCTGGGAATCCTGGGCAGAAACCGGAGACTGGAGACTCGGGCCTCAGTTCAGGCTGCCATGGGGCCCAGCCTTCTCTCTCCCACCTTCCTTCCTTCTGGAGAACCCCATCGTTGCCAGGGGGACTGCAGAACAGGCAGGTCCTCCACCCACCTGGCCTGCGGATCAAGGTGCAGCCTCCAGCTTTGGGGCGGCCTGCCTGGGGCTCGCACACCTGGTCAGCTCAGAGCCCCCAGAGGAGTGGGTGGGGCTTGGAGGCCCTGGTGGTTTCATTTTAAGTGTGGTCTCTTCCCCTTACTCACCCCACTCCACCTCGGACCCAGCTTTCTGGGAAACCCTGTAGCAGCTTCCTCTGAACTCTGTTAAACCCTGAGTCCATGGCAGGAGAGGGAGGCTGAGTTCCCCTCCCAGACCTGAGGCTTCCTGCCCTGGTAGGCACACACTTCTGCCCCCAGCGGCTTCTCTGGATTGCCCACCTTCCAGAAAATTCTGGGCTGCCCCTGTCCACACCCCACTGCCACACTGCATCCCAGGCTTTAGATATCGGAAGTCTGATGGCTTCAAGGGCAGCCCCAAGACACAGACAAGTCAGGGTCTGACCTCTGTTGCTGGGTGACTGTCGTCTCCTACAGCATCAAATTCAGGGAGGGGTATGGGCTAAATCAGGCTTCCTCCCCTATGCATCATGGACATTGGGGCCAGGTCACGCTCTGTGGGGGGCTGTTCTGGGCATTGTGGGGTGTTGAGCAGCATCCCTGGCCCCTCCCCACTCAATGCCAGGAGCACTTGCAGTCGTGACAGCCACGTGTCCCCAGATACCACCCAGCATCCCTGGGTTGAGGGGTTAGGATTGTCCCCATTGAGACCTAGTGGGCTAAAGACAGCTGGGAGAGGACAGAGTGCAGGAAAGATTTAGACATGTCCACGTGTGTGTGCCATAGAGCACCTGAGATGTGGTGGGTCTGAACTAAGATGTGCTGTGAGGGCAAAACAGCCCATATCACAAAGATGTTGTACCAAAAAAAAAAATGAATGTAAAATACCATACTCATTTTTCATATTAATTACAAAGTGGAAATGGTAATATCTGGGCTCTACTGGGTTAAACAAAACATACCATCAAATTACCTTCACCTGTTTTTTCCCTATTGTAAATGCAGCTGCTAGAAAATTGAAAATTGTGAGTGCAGCCGAATGCCATGCATCCCTTTTCCCCTGCCATGTCCCCCACTGCCCCACCCTGGAACATTTGCTATGTTCACAGAAGGGAATATGACCTGCCCCAGGACCAGGGCTGATCTGGTCTGAGGAGACCACAGGATGAAGGTAGTGAGTATTTGGATGGATTTGGTTCCATTACATCCGATGGAGTTGCTGATTACTTATTCTGTGGGTCACCCTCGGGGCTCTCAGGGTCAGCTGCTCAGGGCTCCAAGGCACGAACGCCATGGAAAGGAACCAGGCGGGGACACAGGGGACAGCACACGTGGTCATGTAAAGTGCTGTTTCTTATGATAAAACTATTGAGCTGAAAAAAACTTGCACTGACAAGACACTCAATATTTTCTTCTTGCGAACCAAGCACCAAAAAAAAACACCACAAAAAAACCCCCACAAAAATAAATGAAAGACTACCCATCGTGCAAGATTCCAAAGCTCTCCAACTTGTTTCCTGATTGATTTTATGGACAGAGGTCAGAGGGGTGCTAGGGGTCACAGGTATTGCCTTGTGTTCAGGGCCCCCCCCTGAACACAGTGGCTGTGTCATCTCATGTACTTGGCCCTCTGGGTACTGAAAGAACAGCCACGAGAAACCTCGATGTGTACAAAACCCTCGCTCTCTCCTGAGAACCAGGGGAGGCCTGACATCACCTTCTGCCTGGACCTCATGTCAGGAGACCCCAAAACTAAGGGCTGTTATGTGTTTCACAGAGAACAGCCTGCTGTTCCCTTGCAACAGAGAACCTATAACCACGTCAGAGATGAGAAGTGGGTCCCCAGGTCTGTGGCTACCTTTGGCCAGGCCATTGGGAGCAAGGGACCCACAGTGACTGGGGTGTCGGATCAGAGGGTACCAAGGCTGGGGATGTTCACAAGAAATGGGGGCAGGGAAGGGAGACACCTGGAAACTCAGCCCTCAGCAGTTCAGACACGCTTTCACCACCCATCTCCAAGGCTCTGGCGTGCATCCCTATTACTAGGAGCCTGGTTCTGATGCAGAGTGGGAAGAGAAAGAGCCAGTCTCTCCCTAGACCTTTCCATATCTGAGGGATACTGGCAAAAGCAATAGTACAGCATAGCATGCAGAGTGGTCTGTGCTGATGGCCTTAGGGGAGGTACCTAGACCTCTCAAAGCTTGTGGAGGTGCCTAGTTTCCAAACCATCCTCCATCACCCCCATCAATGTGCTTACTCCTTGCAGATGGCGGCTGGTTCCACACTAACAGTTGGCTGGGGCCTGGGGCCCTGATGTGTACAGGACAGGCCCACCTGGGACTGCTAGCACCAGGCATCCTTGGGTCAAGATGCTGAATCAGTTTACAAGTTAGGGCCCCTTCCCCCCCTGAGGAGACTGGGCACCCACATAGCAACACCTTTATCATTTCTGGTTATCTTTTTTATTCTTTTCTAAATCAGGGGAGAGAACTATGAAGTGGCAGAAACCTGGAAAGCCGTTTGAAGGAGCCACCAACTTGTCTTCTCTTTCGTGTCCACAGGAAAAAAAACCAACATGGGAGACTAGAAGGGTCTCCCTAAGAAAAGAATTCAGCAGTTCCCACAGGGCCACCAGCCCCTACCTTCTGCTGTTCCTCCTCCAAAAACCCAGGGCCAGCTTGGCTAGCACCAGGCTGTGTCCCTTTCAGGGAACCGTTCCCCTGAAATTTGTCACAGATAAATATCAGCTTGTTTCAAGCCATCAGGAAGTATTGAGTGGGGCAGCTGACAGCTTCATCTTCAAAGCTCACAGAAGGGGAGCCTTAGAGCAGCCCTGGCCTCCTCCACTTCCTACTGTCTGACGGCCCAGAGGCAGCCTTCTCTGAACCTTGAAGGCAGAAAGGCTGGCCTTGGGTCTCAGAGGGCCTGGCTGGTCACCCCAACAGGCACAGGAACTAGGACAACCTCCCCACGGATGTTTCATTTCTAACCAGCTGTGGCTGAACGGTTTGAGGGCCCAAATGAATGACGTGCCGGAGTGGTCACTTCTGATTCGCTGGGTTAGCAGAGGTGACAGAGGGTGCCACCCGCCCACATCTGCAGGCGCTGGGGTGGGTGGGGGTGGGGGGGTGTGTTGGTGGTGGTTTTGTGTGTGTGTGTGCAGGGATCTGCTGGGGGTTTCAACCACACAGATGGTTTGGAAACCCAACACTTCCTTTCTGCTGAGTCGAGTTTCAGCTCTGCTGCCATGAAGAGTCAGAAGTGTCTGCTCCTGAGGCATAGGAGAGAACTAGAAGGTCCCTCCTGAGGACAGGGCATGCTCTGCTGAGGACAGGCAGGGTCGACTGTCCAGGCTGCATGACAAGAGGCAGCAGTGCCCAGAAAGAAGTGGACCCCATGACAAGCAACAGGCTGACTGCTTTTTGGGCCAGCTGGAGGGCTACCTTCAAGGGGGCAGGTGTCAGACGAGGGGTGACACACAGAAACGCAAGGTAGTACTTCCCTCTCTTTTGGTGAAAGATGCCAACGTCTATGCGTTCCCTCCAAGGCTTCCCTTGGAAAAAAGAGTGAAGCCAGTTCCTGAGGCCACTCCCACCCCAATTTCTCTGTGGCCCGGTCTGCTAGGGGCCAGGGCTGCCCTCAAGGGACACTGACCTCCTGGGGTTGGACGGGAGGTTGATACCCAAAGAACAAATGGAACAAGAAGTACAATGGGCTCGGTTTGCTTTTTCGTTCCCTGTTTTGTTTTGGTTTTTTAAAACTTAAAGTAAGCAGATTCTCAGACGACAACATGAGCAGCGTCACCCTTCCCCAGAGACCAGAGGGCCCGCCGGCTGCAACAGGTGGGAGAGGAAGTGAATGTTCCGCTGTGTGCATGTCTTCTCCGCGGCGGTGCGGTGGGAGAGGGGGAAGGAGCTGATCTGTCCTGGGTGGGAAGGGCGGGTGGACAGGACGCAGACAGGTCACCAGCCGACCCGTCACACGGCGGTGCGTGTGGGCGTGCTGGGCTGGTTCAGACGCAGCGTTTTACACAACCAACCGGCAAAATCCACTTCTTCCACCTCGGACCGTTTGATGAAGGCGTGGTTCTGCAAGGGAATAAGAGGTGCTGTGAATAGGCAGGTGTCTGCGGGGAGGAGGAAGGTACCAGCCCTCTGCTTGGGTCCGGCAGGCCATGCGGAACAAAAACCTGAAAACTGAAAGAGAATAGGCCCCTAGCCACAGGAAGACACACTCAGGATAGGGAGAGAACCAGACCCAGAGCAGGGAGGTGCCACGCCTGGGGCCTTGCACACCTGGGACAGGGTCTCAGGGGAGGGTGAGGCTGCTGTAAGCTCCCTGGAGTCCAGGTCTTCCCCTCAGCACTGTGGGCACAGGGGCCAGGTCATTCCCTGTGGGTAAGCCATCCTAGGCACTCCTGGTGGCCCCCACTCATTCTGTGCCAGGAGTACCCCCCAGTTGTGACAACCACAGATGTCCCCAGACTTGGCCCAGTGTCCCCTGCAGGCAGAGTCGCCTTGGGTGAGACCATCTGATCTGGAAGAGAACTCCCTGTGAGGATAGCAAGTTCCCTGAGTCCTGTCCAGTGTGACTGCCACCGGCCAAATGAGGCTCCTGGGCCCTGTAAATAAGGCTTGTGGGGCTGAAGAACAGATTTGTGCATCCCTTTTAATTTTAAGTAATTTAGAGAGACACCCATGGCTGGTGGTTCCCACAGACAGCAGAGTGCTAGAGCTTCCTGGTTCCAGGCTAGGTGGGGTAAGCGGATGGCTTCCTGACCAGGAAGGGTGCTGGGAGGGGCGGTCCAGAGCAGGAAGGCAGGGGCCTGGAGTCCATGGAGGGTTTAGTCTCCCCACGTGACATCAAGGGCCTGACTGCTGCCTCCTGTGCAAGCTAGGGGCAGGCAAGATCACTCTCATCTTCCTGAAGATGAAGGCTTGGGTGAAAAACCAAAGAAGGTTACAGGATTCCTCTGGTCCAGGGCAACAGGGTGGAGGTTGCAATGTTAGCCCCAAACAGCAGAGTTTTACTTGGGCAGGGAGGGACCTGGAAGGGTTTCTTGCAGTGTGAATGGGAGAGTTGGAGGTGGAGGGCGCAATACAGGGGGTTTCAACATAAATGTATTTCTCTATTTCGTATATTTGTATATTTTACAATGAACATGTATTTTTCATGTCACACATTCCTTGAGCACATGGTACTGGAAAACCTGTCAGACACCATAAGAAATTTCTAGAAAGAATCAGGCAGACGCAGACTAGGTTTTCTATTCTGACCACAGCAAACAGTGACTGCAACTGAGACACAGCTTTGTTGCCACAACTGCTAGTGGAGTGGGATTAGACAAGATGCCTGGGACTTTCTCAGAGGGGGTGCTGAAGCTGAGACTCACAGATGGGGAACAGCCAGCCTTGAGAAGAACAGGACGTGTCCCCTAGGGAGAACGACTGTGCAAAGGCCCTGAGGGGAAGGCGGGTTTTGGTGGCCACCCTGGGTTTCAAGGACGTTAAATGGTGTGGGTTTAAAGAAAGGCATCAACCCTGTAGCCTCCCTGACCTGCGGGGGGCTTGACAAGCCCGAGGCAGGAGCAGCTCAGAAGCATCAGAGCTCATCGTTCTCCAGGAACACCCCCACCCGGGCACAGCCAGGGCCCTGCTGCTCCCCCAGCAGCTGAGCGGCTGTTCTGGATCATTCCTGCTCAAGGACCATGAGACCCAAAGGAGTTCTCCAGCTCCCAGGACAAGAGCCGGCTTGGGGCAAGGGGTTCTGATGGGGTTTCCCTCTCCCTGAGGAGGAGGGAGGGGCCCTGTGCAGCAGTCTGCACCCCCGGTGACCCCAGAATCCACAGCATCACTCACCATGAGCATCTTCAGATCCGCTCGCTCGGCTGGGTTCTTAATTAGGCTGGGGGTTCCGTGGGGAAGGACAAGGAGACAGGGTAGGAAAACAAGACAGGGCAGTTAGTCAGTGGCTGTGGGGACTTGCGTCTTGAGCTGTGGCCGGGTAGCCTGTGCTGACCCGTCCCCACACCCATGAACCTGGTCAGGGACAGAACCCGCTTTGCGGTCACTCTGCTGCCTAGACCCGGTGGGTGAGGGCCCCAGCGCTACCCTGTGGTATAAGGGCAGGACACCCTGGGAATGGGAAAGTGAGGGTCTGAGCCCAGGAAAAGAGCAAAAGGGAAAGAAGGTAGAAACAAACCCCCCAGCTGCTGCTCAGTCCGAGGCCCACCAGCAACCATAGCTCTGTTTCCAATAAAACCCCCAAATTTGGGAGTCTGTCAAAATAGAACTTTTTCCTTCAAAAAAGCAGAACTGCCTAAAGGCAGCTACTCAAAGCAGCTTGAGGCTGAAAGATAGTTCTTCAAACACAGAGAAAACCTTGCATGGATATAAAAACATTTACACAGATAATGGACAAGTAGATTTGTGCCACACAGCGCTGGCCAGAGGTTGTGCAAAGGGCTAGTGGCACCTTCACCAGCAGGAGCGAGAATGCTGCTGTGAATCATATAGTCCCCAGGCAGCAGGGGGTTGGCAGTGTTTGCTCATGCTGACATGTAGGATGGCCCTAAAGGTAAGTAGGGTGGCCCTGGCCCCACCCCACTCGCCCCAGGCCCATCTCCAGAGGGCAAGAGTGTCCAGAACAGCTGACCACCTCCCAGAATCCTGCTGGGAAGGCTTGTTTGGAAACTGGTGGGTTGCAGGCCTCAAGGGATTAGGATACTGGGGGACCTGCTAGCAGAAGGCAAGGCGGGAATAGCATTATTTCCAAAGTGCCTGAAAACCTGGTTCACTCTGGGTTTTGGGAAAGAGCTGGGGATGGCAGCCAGACACTGTGACTCAGCAGCCTTGGAAAGGGACTCTGGGTTCTCAGGTGAGCACAGGTGGCCCACTGGATGCTGCAGACTGCCCAGTATTCCAGACCTGCAGGCTCAGCAGAGGAAGAACGCATCTAGGTTGATGGATGGGAGCTATAGTGGCCCATCCTTGGAGGCAGGCAGGGATCCTGAGGCCTGGCACAGCCCCGCCCACCCGAGACCGAGCTGGAGGCTATGGCACCTTACCATTTATTCACAAAATCCTGGAAGTCCTGGGTGAAAACACCGCTAGGCAGCTTGGGAGGAGGCTGTCGGGGAGAACAGACGGGTGGGAGTCAGATGCTCACAAAGGGTTCTGGAATCACGGAAGGGAGGACGCTTCCCAACCCCGCACACCAGGACAGCACAACACTTTTGAGGACCCTCAGGATGCACCTCTCCTGACCTCGTCCCTTCGCCCTGCTGGAGGCTGGCAGCCATTCCTCTCCCTGCAGGCCCTGCTGCCTGCCCTGCCAGCTGGGTTGGGCTCTTCCAGGGTTTTCTTTCAAAAGCTCTGGTTTGGGGAATCACAATGGTTCTACAGGGAAGGAAAGCAGGGCTCACCCTAATTTTATAGACAAAGGTGGTCACTCTTGACCATGGGTCACCCTGTCTGGGCCACCCACTTCTGTAGGTATCCTGAATGAGCTGTGGATCTGGACCACAGGAGGCAGCTAGTTCCAGGGTTTTGAGACTGGAAGCTGGGGGAGCCCAAGGAGCCTGGGCTGGCACACATGTCCCAGGATGGAGACTGCCATGTGCAGGGTTAGGCCCGTCAGGGAGGCGGTGGGCAGAGACTGGCCCAGTGAAACCCACAGGGCCTCCTCCTCAGCCTTTCTGCTCAGAGTGGGAGGTGGTGGTGTCCTCACTGGGACGTGCTGGCTGGGCCTGGACGGCACTGCCAAGTGCAGGTAGAGCTGTGTACACCCTGGGCAGAGACACCCTGCCCTGTTCTGTCACTACCAACTGCTCACCTTGACACTCAGCCCTGAGCCAAGCCCCACACTGCAGGCAGCTCTGCCACCCTGTTTCTCTGACCTGCCCAGAGGATCATCTAAAACACACGTCAGCCCCCAGAGGTTGGGGGGCAGGGGCAGGTGACCACACTGTGCCAAGGTAGAGGCTTCGGAGTCAGGTCCTGCTTCATCCCTCCCCAGCTGCAGGCCTCTACGGAGGCTGCTCCCATCCTTAGGCCTCGGTTTACTTGTCTATAAAACAGGAATATTCGGGCCGGCCGAGTGGTGTGATGGTTAAGAACTGGCTTGGGACGCCAGAGGCCCCAGTTCAGATCCCACATATGAGGGCCAGTGACACTGCCCTCTACAGCTAAGATGCTGAACAACAGCTCAACCTGGAGCTGGGCTGTCGAGAGTCGCCAGCGACGGCATAGGCTGCAGCCCCTGCTGCAGTGGGTTGCCATGGGCTACTGTATGTAGCCAGCAGCCAGTGTGAGCGGCCAGCAGCCGCAGTGAGCGGCCATCCAGAAGCCAGTGACTGATCTGCCTCGCCCGGGAAGAGCAATGATGGTGCCAACTTGGGCCAGTGAAGCAACGTCCTCCACAACTAGACTGAAGAACAAAACAACAGCAACTTGTCTGTTCCCCTTCCCCCAATTCCCCAACACTGTTCCCATCCCCCCAATACCCCAATAAAAATCTTAAAAAAAAAACAAAAACAGGAATATTCATGCTACCCTTCTAGGCACTGTGTGCCTCCTTCCAGAGAGGAGGGGACACCTGGATTTTCCCTGAGGAAGTGAGACAATTTAAGACTTCGAGCACACTGGCTCCATGATGCTCAGAGTGAGAGATGGGTGACAGAGCTCTGGGCCTGGCCTGGCTCCTTGGCCCAAGTACTTGGTTACTGGCCTTGCGGGGAGGGGACTGTGGTGGGAATTCTGGGTTCATCTTTATAAACACAAACAAAAAAATGTCCCTTGGGGAGGAGTGGATTTCTGCAGTGGAGCTGGAAGTTATCACAATGTTTTTACACCTGGTAACTTCTGTCTCTCCCCCTGGCTCCCTCCCCAACACAATTCAGTCTATGCACTGAATTCCCTCTTTTCGGTAATGTATTCCTATAGGATAGCTTAATCTGCGGGCATGAAGACCTGCTAAAGGGCCTTCAGGTACGTACTTCGTTCACAATGTAGTCCAGCAGCTCGAAGATAGCCATAGCCGGCCGGCTGTCCATCCCGTGACCTGTGCGGGGAGAAACAAAAACGGGCAAGATGGGAGGCGGCTGCGGCATTTCTGTTGGGCATCAAGGTCTGAGTGCACTGAATACAGCCCAGCACTTCTCCCCACACTGGCTGAACCAGGGGAGGCTCCCCTGGCATAGCGACGTGGCTACTGAGTTCATTTCCTGGGAACATAACTTCACTCCCGAGTCTCTGGTGAATTAAAAAAAATAATAATAATAACACATCCAAATGAAGAGAAGCATTTTTTGAGAAGTCGTTATGCCCTGCTTTGTGGTGCAGAGGCGGAGTGTGGTGGTGGGGATGTGTGGCTTGCAGACCACAATTAAGGACAGTAGCGTGACACTGCATGGAGCCACAGGTAGAGACAGCAGCAGGACCTAAATGCAGCTCAGGACAGGTGGCCAGCTGGGGGGTGGCTGACCCATCCTAGACCCAGCTGGCCAGGTCTGGGTTTGGCAGTTGGACTTTCCCCTTTTGACCTGTCCTGAAATGGGCACTTGGGCTGGGGCTGGGGGAGGTGCTAGAGGGCTGAAGTGGCCTGGCATGACCCAGTGCTCCTCCCGGCTGGGAGGGGGTCACAGCAGAACATGTGGAGGCCATCTGGGAGTCGGACTGGGAGGTGCAGGGCCAGAGCCTGTGGACACAGATGGGGGCAGGTTTCTCCCCTTAAAGGAAACCAAGACACCCTAGCAGTCTGGGTGTGGTCCCAGGAAACGGGAAGGTCTGGCTTGAAAACACCGTGAAAATCACCATCTGACAGTTCAAGCATCCACCAACGGTGAACAGGTACACAAAAACGTGGTCCATCCACACACTGGAATATTACTTGGCCACAAAAAGGAGTGAAGGAAGCACTGACACTCGCTACAATGTGAATGGACCTTGAACACAGGGTGCTCAGTGAGAGAAGCCAGACACACAAGGCCACACAGTGTGTGATTCCATTGATGTGAAATGTCCAGAGCAGGCACATCCAGATAGGAAGTGGGTTAGTGGTTGTCAGGGGATGGGGATGGGGTTTCCTTTTGGGGTGATGGAATGTTCTGGAATTAGGTAGAGGTGATGGTTGGATAACCTTGTGAGGATACCAAAATCCACAGAATTATTAATATATGCCTCAAATGAGTGAATCATATGGTACTCGAATTCTATCTCAATAAAACTGTCATGAAACCAACCAACCACAGTCCACTGCATGTTCCCTTGGACTCTCATTGAACTCGACTCCCTTCCTGTCACTTGACTTTAAATAAAAAGAAATCATAAAGCCCTAAGTGCTACTTCCAGGTTAGGCCATTTCAGTTGCAACCCTCCCCATTTCACCATCCCCAAAGTGGTGGACGTGTCAGCCTGAGCCTCTCTGGTGTTGGGGAGCCCCCCTACCTCATAGGCAGCCACTCTAAGTACTAAGAATTGTCTGGGAGCCCAGCTGCCCTCCAGCCTCCTGTCCCCTCCCATGCTGTGCTGCATGTGTGTCCAACAAGCTATCCAAGGAAATTCTGAGTCAAGTTCTTTTCAATTTGGGGGCTTCCTGGAAGGCCTGGCCCAAACACAGGAGGGTTTTCAGTGCTGTGTCTCAGTGGTGGGCATAAGGACGTTTGCTGGGCAAGACTTTTGGTTTTTCTGTACGTTTGGACATTTTCGTGATAAAATGTTGGAAAAACCAACCAACCAACTAGTGGCTTGGCTGAGGGGTTAGTTTCTAGATCCCACCAGCTGGTGACAACAGGTGCAGCTGTCCTGAATGGGACAAGTCGGGGGTGCTTCTTCCAGCACTGTCCCCAGAAGGCTCAGGACCATCTGAGGACTGCTGACTGCAGTTAGCACAACCAGGGGAACAGGTGGTGCCGAGAGGGGCCAGAATCGAGGCAGCTGCCATCCCAGGCATGGCATTCCCCATTGGGTCACTGCTCATCCAAACCGGAAGTGCCAGACTCGGGCCGTACCGCTTATGGGGCGTCCAGGGGGTCTTGGCCGTGGTGAGATGCTATGAGACTCTCCTTCTGCCCCATCGACCATGGGCCGGCCAAATATGGCCTCCAGCTCCTTGGCGTCTGGTGGGGGGATGGGGTACCTTCCAATGGACAGCTCCACCAGTGACAGGCCCATGCTCCAGATGTCCGACTGCACCGAGTAGTGAGTGCCTTGCAACCGCTCTGGCTGTCAGGCGAGACAGAGAAAAGGCCCAGCAGGAGACGGATGGATGCTGTACCCAAGGGAGCTCATGGGATCGGGGGTGGCATCTGAGTGTCTCTTCATTGTTCCCCCACAGCCTCATCCTGACCCCTGCCACCCCTCTGTAGACCAAAGCGATTGTGTCTCCTCCTTCCACCTGCCTCGGGAGACAAGCTTCCAGCCATTGCTGACGGCAGCTCGTTAAAGACCTAAATCCTTGGCAGTTTTGTAAAAGGATGAATGGCCCAAGAAGGACAGTGGAATGCCTCCTTTTTCACACAATCCCAAGACGAACTTCCCAGAATCTTCTCCATTTATCACCCAGACCTTTCCTAAAATACCTGAGGGCTAGTTTCTCGGCTCAGAAATTAACTGACTGCTCTCCTTGACTGGGTTTTTGCTACCCATGGGAAGGAAACAGCAGGCATTCCCAGAGACAACACTTAGTGAGAACTGGTGGAAACTGAATTTTGAAGGAGAGGAGAAATCCGGCAAACAAAAGAGGCTTTTGGAAAAGCTTCTGGAAAATGGGGAAGAGGGTACAGCGCGCGATGAAAACGCCTCTTGAGGGACTTACGGACATGTAGGATCGCGTTCCCACGAAAGAGTTGGCCATGGAGTCGATGAGCTGCCCGCTCACCCCAAAGTCACACAGCTTTATCTCCCCTCTGGAGTTGACGAGGATGTTGGACGGTTTCACATCTGCGAGCAGAGCCAGCGGGAGAAGTGTCGTTCAGGCCCACTTGCCGCCCTGTTGGACCGGGAGGGTGCCCCCACGCGTCTTACCTCGGTGCATGATCTGGTGCTTCTCCCGGAGATATGCCAGGCCCCGGAGAACCTGCAGGGAGCCATGGGGAGAGGAGGGGTTAGCAGGGCAGCGCCATGTGGGGACCAGCTCGGGAACCAGCTTTCAGGTCGGGGTGAGTGAGAGGAGAGGCGAAGTGATGGCAATGACACCCTACACTGGTGGGTACAGATGCCTAACTCACTGATTCTCACACAATCACCCACCTGCCCACCCAGAAGCAGACACTGCCATTCCTTCCATCTCAGGGGAGGAGCTGATGAGGCCCATGGAAGCTGAGACTAGGCCCGAGGCCCTGCTAGTAAGGCTGTAAGTGTCTGGCTGGCCACTCTGCCTTGGAGGTCGCATCACCCAATGGGCATCATGTATTGAGTGCTTTGGTGCTGGCGCTGTGCTAAGGATCCCCCACCCCCAACTGATGGGGAGTGATGGGTGCAATGGCTATGTCACCAAGTCAGGGAGGAAACACACGACATGGCACTGGGGACCCTGTGTGCCTGGGACCATGCCACCAGTGTCCCATGTAACCCTGACACCTGTGTGGGGCTGGAAAGCATCACCCCTATCGTATGGGCAAAGGCTCAGTCCTGTAGCAGGTGGGGATTGACATCGGCACTCTCCCTCCTTGCAAGGGCTGCACTGACGCGGCCACTGGCCACGTGGAGGGAGCAGGAATACGAATAAATGGGGCTAGGAGCGTGTACATACGCCCAGTGCTGCGATGGCTGGGGGGAGCGGCACCTGCACACTCACCGCGATGCTGACCTTCCCCAGGATCTCTTCTGGAATTCTCTTGGCTTCTTTCAACACCTGGTCCAAAGAGCCACCGTCCTGGGGGCAGCACAGGGGAGAGAAAGCAAGCGCTCTGAGCAGGTAGCCAGGTGGGGCTGTGCAGAGATGGATCTGAGGGACACTGGAGTGGCAGGTATAAAAATGCAGCATTTCCCTGGCGCCCCATTTCCTCCACAGGAACCAGAGGGCAGACCACAGCCAAAGGCAAGCCTGGGCCTCAAGATGGCACATCCAGTGCAGAAGGAGAAGGATGCCCATGCGCGCCTCATGTCTCAGCTCTCCTGAGTTGCCAGGGCAGCAGCTGGCAGAACAGAGTCACGGAGGTGGGCACTGCTCATGGCCAACTAGGCCCAGCCACCAGGCTTGCCACCAGAGCAACCTTGAGGGCGCCCAAGCTGGACCTGTCCGCTTCTGGGCCCTGAGGGCAGAGGTGATTCCCATTAAGTGCTCAGTGTAGGAGAAAGGCAGCCAAGCAGAATGGTCTCTCCACTGCCCCTGGGCCTGAGCCCACTCGCCCCCAGCCTTGTTAAAAAGAGACCTGCTGCCCGAGGGACAGAGGATGCCTGGGGTTGATGAAAGCTCTGCCCCCTCCCTTAGGCCTTATGTACTTGCCAGCACTGTACATAGGAACATCCTGCAAAGGACCTGACACAAGTCATAGTCGATCCCCCTATCTCACTCTGGGTGTGGCCCCAAATCCACCTGGCAATGAGGAAACGACAGAAATAAAGTATCTTGTGCAAGGTCACCTGGCAACAAACCTGGAAACCAAAACCTAGGGTGTTGCCAGCTCCAGGGAGGTTGCCTCTTCAGAGGTGGGGCTCTGAGGACACGTCCGACGGGTCCCCTAGGATGTTAGGTGGACATGGCCAAGTTCCAACCATGGGCCAGAGCCTGCCTGGGTCTCCTCTGCATTCCAGAGAGGAAAGCAGAACCTCTGAGGGGTGAAGTGGGGCCAGAATCTGAAGTCGTTGCCGGGTGGCCCCAGAACCAGCAAATGTGCTACTCTACAAGTCGCACAGGCGCTCCTTCTTAGGGACGCTTTCTGCTTCACCTGGGGGCAGGGGGTGACCTCTGAGATGCCCAGGTCTCCTCTCTCTGGCCATGCTTGGTGAGAAAGGCCATGCTGGAGAGTTCTAGAAAACCCAATGCACTTTGAAGCTTAGGGAACCTGTGCGTGACTGCAATGAGCGAGGGACTCACACACCTGCAGAGGGTGGGTGTGGCCGAGGAGGAAGCCGGAACCAGGTGTTCCGGTGAGCCTGGTCTGGCCAGGGCACCTTGCCCGCCCGGCTCTGCCTGCAGGGTGAGATGGGAATTCCTTCTATTCTTCTCGTTTTTTTGTTTGTTTTATCAATCAACCTTAGAAGAATTAAAAATATTTTTTTAAACTGTAATTCCTGCTCCCTAACACAGGTCCTTTCACTCTGAACTTTACATAGAGTTGAGAGTTAACTCAAAACACCTTCATGAAAAAAACAAAAAACCTTCATGACAGATACTACTGCTCTTTCTACGGCAGAGTCCTCCCCTTGGTACTGGGACACTAGGGCTGGCTTTCTCTGTGGGGGCTGTCCTGGGCACTGTGGGGTGTTGAGCAGCACCCCTGGGCCCCACCAGCATCTCCCTTGTTGTGATAATGTCCCCAGACATTGCCCAGTGTCTTCAGGGGGCAGACCGCCTCTGGGTGAGATTCCCTGGTCCACAGCTAAGAAGACGGTAAGTCATTTGTTCAAGTCACATGCACAGGATGTGGTGCAGATGTCACAACTAGGTCTTTTTGACCCCAAATCTCTCATTATGCATGACCATACACTTTCATTTTGTGTGTATGTGTTCTAAATGTTCTTAAAATCATACTTTTATTAAGCGGGTAGTGCACGAGTACATATTTCTTATAAAAATTTAAATGTAGATAAATACACTCTGATCCCCCGGCAAGTCCACTTGCCTCCCTGAAGTGTGACTTATGTTCTTCTGGATCCTTCTGTGCATTTGCATACACATCCATATGCATAGGGGAATACAGAATTTTAAAAATATATATAAGTGGGCTCCTATCATGTGTATCTTCCTCCTTGGGGATTTTCTCATTCGGTTCACAGGCTGATTTCATTCCCCACTATAGAGCGGCATGGTGTCATTGCTTCTCTGTCCCTTACTGACAGATGTGCCTGATTTTTCATTATCACAGAACGAGGGAATACATTCTTCAGATTGGACCAGAGCCCAAGAAAGACCAAGAGGTGCCTCTGAGCAGTCAGTAAGTGGCTCCCCAGCCACTGCTGCCCTGAGATACCCACTGTCCACTGGATCCATGCCCGAGTTTTCCCCATAACAGGCTTAGGCCACTGGGAAACCGCCAGCCCTGCTGACCTAGGCCCTGGACACCAAGACGCACTGGACAGGTGAGGTTTAACCTTCCGTGCTGAATCTGGGCTTTATCATCAATTAGGAGTCTTTTCTCGAAAGCTGGAGCTAAAACCTCCCCGATAGGAAACAAGGGCCAATTTGCGCATGACCCTGTGTAAAGATGAAACCTCGTCCAAGATAAGGGAACAGTTCCACAACATGGGACATTGACTAGGTGGGATGTCATGATGGTGAAAACAGAGAAATATAGGGAAACAGCCCCAGCGATGATAGTGACTGACATTCACTCAATGCTCTGCGTGTCCCAGGTCCTACTCCAGACGTCTCATCCTCACCTGGGCCCCGAGGGCAGGCACTACCAACCCCCTTGGCTTGACAGGTAAGAAGTGGTGAGAATCTTGTCTAGAGTCACGTGGTAAGAGGTAGGCAGTGGGGCTGAGGCCCGAATCCAGGGTGCCATCTCTACCGCCATGCAGGGCGTCCCCCAATATGGCACATGAACAAACAAAGCAAAAGCATCCCACAAAGAGGGAAAACTGATGCACATGCGGGTCAATTCTGGGGGACCGTAAGGAGTGGTGACAGCAAAGGCCATTTTGTTGCTTTAATGTCATTTTTTTCTCCTCATGCCTTCCTTCTATCTCATGCTGAAAACCAATATTTTACATTCATCAAGAGCAGAAGGGGGGAATGGAGGGGCGGGGGCAGGCTATGCCGCTCCCCCTTTTTCTGCAAGGGCAAGAGGTGCCTTTAAACTCCCATGATGTTCAGGGAGAATAGGGAGGGGTGGCTGAGAGCACTGGGAGGAGAAAGGAGGGAGAAGCTACAGTTCAGAGGAGGCTCCCCTCAGACCACAAGTTCCTTCTGTCCTCCCCCTGACCCTTTGATTCTCCTCTGCACTGTGACTTTGCCAGGCGGGCGAGCAGATATGATCTCCCTCTCCAGGTGAGAAAAGGAGCTCCTCCAGCGTGTTGCCTGGCAGGGATCACTAGGCTGGGTAGGGGCAAGGAGGGTAGGGAGCACCTTCTCTGGGGCACTCCCTCTGAACTGTTACACCACACTGCCGGTTCATGGTGCATTCCTTGCGGGTGCTTGCTCAAATTTGTTTCCTGTCTTTGTTACAAAACTGCCAGGGGGCCAGGGAGTTTGCACGGCATAGCCTAAAGCCACGCCGCATCCTGATTTTGCAAGGGTCCCACCGGGCCTCAGCCCATGTGGCCTGGCAGCAGGCAGTCCGGTACCTTACCAGCTGGGCTTGGCAGAGGGTCGGCGGCATTTTCCCCCAGGGCGTTCAGCTCTGACCACTTCTGATTTTGTTTTGCCCAATCCCACCCATTTCTGAGCTTCAAGACCAGAGTTTCTTAACCAGGGGGCACAGCAGACTCCATTGTGGTGGTTTAAGAAAAAGATGGGTGCTCGTGCTCTGCCCCACAGCTTCTGATTCCACAGATCTGAGCGGAGTACAGATGCGGGTCCCGCCTTTAAAACAGCCCCCCAGGGGCCGGCGGAGGGGCTCAGTTGGTTAAGAGCTCGCTCAAGGGTTTGAGCTCTGAGCAACAGTGGTTCGAGTCCGGCCTGAGCTGAGCTGCCGCTGAGCTGCCAACAGGTGGCAGGATGGCTCAGCTTAAAAACAACAACAACAAAAAAAAAACAGCCCCCCAGACTGCTGCACTCTCTTTAGAAATATCAACCAAATTTTCAATCACATGTACCCCTGGGCCCTGCAATTTCACTGGCAGGACTTTACCCCTCAGGGATGCTTGCTTCCATGCAACGACATTCAAGGAGCATCATTCAAAACGGGGCCTGGACTGGAAACGATCTCAGTGCCCACCAACAAGAGCATTTACTAAATTACCTTACAGGTATATGCAGCCGCCAGGATACTAGACAGTGGGGAAAAAGATGGAGTCGACTCTCTATATGCCAACAGGAAATGATTTCCACCTTGTATCCAGTGAAAGAGCAAAGTTGGGAGGGAGGAGGGCGACTGGTGTTTAAAACCAAAGGAATCTATACACACATCCTTGCACAGGCATCAACATTTCCAGAAGGATCCTCTTGGAAACAGGTGTACGTGGCCTCAGAGGATGGGATCCTGAGGGACACAGGTAGGGGGACCCCTTTTTCACCAGCCACCCTTTCGTTCTATGTGAACCCTTTGTCCTGTCACATCTACCTGGTTGCAAGCCTGGATGGCTCAGATCCTGGGTCAGGGTCGCCCCCGCTCCCCCACCCCGGCCCCCGTTGCACTCACCATGTGCTCCATACAGATGCTGATCTCTCCGTCGCTATAGAAGGCCCCGTAGAAGCCCACGATGTACGGCGAGTTACACTCGTGCAGCACCTGCAGCTCACGGATTATCTGGTTCCGGATGGCTGGCTTGATCTCCAGGTGAATCAGCTAAAAGGGAACAGGAATCGGGTTCAACAGCAGTGCCAGGAAGGGGCAGGGCTTCAGTCCTTTGCCCTTGAGGTGCTCACAACAGCATTTAAGACCAGCCAGCAATCCACTCCTAGGTATCTACCTACCTAGAGAAATGAAAACACACATCCATGCACACACCTGCACACACATGTTCACAGCAGCATGATTTACAACTGCTAATACATGGAAGCAATCTGAGTGTCTATCAATGTCGAATGGACAAACACAATGTGGTGCATCCATACAATAAAATATTACTCAGCCAAGAAAAGGAGGGAAGCACGGACACTTTCCACAACATGGATGGACCTTGAACATACGGTGCTCAGTAAGAGAAGCCAAACACATATGGTCACATAACGTGTGATTCCATTTATGTCAAATGTCCAGAACAGGCTAATCTAGAGAGACAGAAAGTAGATTCATGGTTGTCAGAGGCTGGGGATGGGGCTTCTTTTTGGGGTGATGAAAATGTTCTAAAATTGATGGTGTTGACCGATGTACAACTCTGTGAATATACTAAAAACGACTGAAAAGGTAAATTGTCTGGTATGTGAATTATATCTCAATAAAGCTGTTAAAAAACCCCAAAACCCCATGAACACAGCTAACATTTTTCACTTGGTTACAGGGGAAGCTCTGTTAAGAGCTTTCTTTACACCAAATCATACAAAGTGCCAGCCTTTCCCAGGACCTAGCCCAAGGAATGGCCTGGCAGAAAGGTCGATTACTTCACCTCTGCCCACCTCCTCATTCAGGGGTGGGTTTCTCTGGAGCCCTTCTCACCTCCAGGCTAGAAACAAGGCACAAAGAGCCTCTGCTCAGCACCCGAGGATCTTAGCTGCCCTTCCACTCCACTAGAGTTCAGGTCAGCAGCTGGGATTGTCACCCAAATTCATCACATTTCAAATCAAAAGATTGTCTGGAGACATGCAGAAAAGACAGCTGACAAAATGCCAAAAGCAACACCCAGCTACAAATCCTAAGCAAACCAGGATCCATAGCCCAGCGAGAAAGAGCGATGGTTGTGGGTCCACATCCTGGCTACTTAGAATCAGGGATGCTCTGGCCATTGCGATAAGACAAGAAAAAGATGTGATTTCTACCCCTTTGTCAGAGAAGTGGAGCCAGGTCACAGGTATCTGAAAATGACTGCCATCAGATTTACAGACATTTTTGTAGAGTTAATTACACCTGGGACCAGTGATGGGGAGAAAGGCAGGAAAGATGACCCTGCTCGAAGGAGACATGCAGTCAGGAGGAAAGAGAAGCAGGTGAAACACTAGTATGGTAGAGGAATTAGGGAGAGGTGATCCAGGGCTCAGGTGACATTGGGCCTTGAAGGATGGGTAGGAGTTAGCCAGATGGACACGTTGGGGCTGGCATTCCAGGAAGAGGGACAAAGAGCTGCCTTTTCAAGGGCACCAAGGCATGAAGGGTGTGTATGGACTTAGGGGAGGGAGACAGGGTAAGTGTGAAGAGCACCACCTACTCACAAGCCCATGCTGATGACCCTTGCGACCTTGAGAACTGTGGCAGGTCCTAGCAGCATGGTGCCATGTGCCTCCCTGACTGGGGCCCTCCAGTGCTCAGGGCCCCTCAGGTACTCACTTCTCCACCCAAGCAAGCCTTCAGAGCCAAGCCCTGGCCAAGCTCCCCAGGACACTGTACACCCCCATGGCCACCCCCAGGGCGTCGATCACACCAGAACCCCAGGATGCTCTCTCGTTCGGTGGGACTGCATCTGTGAGGAGATGCCCAACATGCGCACGCGTACATGCTTTGAAGGCATGAGATGCTGGGTCTGCAAATGAAGCGCTGACCTTTGCATGGAGGGTGGGAGGCCGATGGATGGGCAGTGCAGGGTGATGGAGACCAGGGCTGTCCAACAGAAATACATTGTGAGCCACATATGTTAAATCTAAAATCCTTTACTGCCGCATTAATAAAGTAAAAAAAAATGGTGAAATGAACTTTTCAGGTATTTTGTTTAACTCAATGTAACATATCAAAAAACTACCGTTCAACATGTTATCAATGTAAACATATTAATGCGATTTTTTTCACAAGGAACTCTTAAAGTGTGGCACGTGTTTTTTTGCACACACAGCACACCTCGGTTCGGAATGACCTTATTTCAAGGGCACTGTAGCTCGGTATGACCAGGGGCAGCTCTCAACCAAGAACTTGAAAGAAACCACAGATGAATCAGTAGCAGGGGAGCGAGAGTCCACTAGGCTTTAGAGAAGAGGAAGGGGTGGACAAAACTGGACAAAATCCCAGAGGCCCTGGGACCCTGGGGTTGGGTAAATGTGAAACAAGGCACCAGGAAGTGAGAGGCTTTGGTGAAAGATGTAAAGAGATGTCATAGCAGTTGCTGCTACATGATCTCTGTTTTAATGGGTCCATTATATGTGGGGTTTGTAAAGCGAGTCTTCCGGACTGACCAGTAGCAAGCACCGAGGGTGTGCAGAGAAAGCAGGAACTGGAAGGCAGGGGAACATTTCTGAGTGTGTGCTCACAATTTGCCCTGATGACAACCCTGGGTGGGGGAGGACAGGACAACTGCCCCTACTGCACTGATGCGCAAGTGCAGGCTCCAGGACAGTAAATCACATTCCCAGGGGCACACAGCTGGGTGAGAGGTCAGGTCAGGGTTGCCACCGGGCTCACGGAATGCCAGAACCCACACTACTGCATATCACTACTCTGGGGTCACGTGAGCACCGATTGCTGATTAAACCAGAAAGGTACTGGGAGTTCAAACCAAACACCAAGCCTGTCTAGGTAGGAGTTTAAGGCAGTTTCTACTGCAAGATGGGGGATCTGAGCTAGGAATGGGGTAGGGGGTCTAAACTAGAGAAAGAGGGACATGGATTCTGGAGGCAAAGTCCTGATAGCTTCCACAGGGTCAGGGTCAACCACAAAGGTTCAAACCCAATTCAGACAAGACCTAACCTAGCCTCAGTTTTCTCATCTGTAAAAATGGAACCATCATTCCATTTAAATGAGAACACGTGTCAAGCTTTTAGAACTGGCTTTGACACAGGGCAATCGCCTGAAAGATGGCAGCCAGTTATTATGTGGCCTTGGACAGGTGACACGACCTGTATGCTAGCTCAGAGTAGGAGGTCAAGGGAGCCCCATGCATGTAACACACATGCTAAATTCTTCGCAGGTCTCCCCTGGCCCGAGTCATGCAGAAGTTTTGTTTCTAGGGCTCTCAGGAGGATGCAGGAGAGCCATGCTGAGTCAAGAAAACATTTACGAACAAATGTGACTGTACATATCAAGACTGGCTTTCTGGGGCCTATGAAACTGGTCTTGCTGCTCCCCCAGCACGTCCTACTGGTTAGGATGAACCTCTGCCAATCATGGGACCAGGCAGATGCTGGCCCACAGAGTAGGAGCCCCACCCAGCCCTCACTCTCACACCTGCGGGCAGGCTGCCTTTGGAGACTGGATAAGCTTACACACTCGGAATGCGTGGAATTCATACCAGGCTTCCCAAGAAATTTCAAATTCCATGCAGGGTAGTGGAGGAAGGACTGAAGCTACTGTTTCTTAAAAACCACTGTGTCTCCTGCCCGAGCTGAGCTGCTGCTGAGCTGCCAAAAGGTGGCAGGATAGCTCAGCTAAAAACAAACAAAAAAACCCACCAAAAAACACTTTGTCTCATTAATTGTCCCAACTGTGCCCTCAACTAAATAAAGGCAACAGGCCTCCAGGGTGGGTTGGCATTCTGGATGGATTAAGAGGGGCTCTTGGGGGGCCGGCCAAGTGGCTCAGTTGGTTAAGAACTCGCTCAAGAGTGCGAGTTCTGAGCAACAGGGTTGCTGGTTTGATTCCTGGCCCGAGCTGAGCTGCCAACAGGTGGCAGGATGGCTCAGCTAAAAAAAAAAAAGAAGAAAAAAAAAGGGGGCTCTTGACCCCCACAGGCCGATCCAGGGCTCCTGGGCCATCAGGAGTTACAGTCCCGGACCACACGACCCCAGGCAAACAGCCTTCTCTCTCTTTTTTTTTGCTGTTGCTCAGAGCTCAAACTCTTGAGCGAGCTCTTAACCAACTGAGCCACTCGGCCGGCCTAACAGCCTTCTCATTTAGTGTACTCATTACATGCCCGCGGGCACCTGCGCTGTTCCAACACTGCTGGGAGGAGGTTATGATCTACACCCCCATTTTTGGGAACATTTATTAAAAACCTTTTTATTTTGAAAGAATTATAGAAGCATGGGGAAGTTGCAAAAACAGCAGAGTCCAAGGTACCCTTCACCAAGCTTTCCCCAACAGTGACATCATCTGTGAAGGACCGTATTAGGAAACTGACATGGGACAGCACCGCTAACTCAACTACAGAACTTATCTGTCCCCTGGTTTAAACTCCTACGTCTTACTTCAGGCTTTCCTAAAACTGTAGGCAAACTCCTGGATTCACGTTTATAGAAGGCATGTCGGGACCACCCGGAAGATTCCTCAGCGGGCCTGAGAGAACCCCCAAGTCCCTGACACAAACTCTGACCAGCACTGTTCTCAAGTTCCCCAGTTGCTGCTTGAATCTCACATCCATCTTTTCATTCCCAGTGCTTCGGCCGATGGCAGACCAGAGATTTCTGGGGCTGCTCTGGTTTTGAAAAGGCTGCCTGTGCTAAGGGAACAGAAATAGGATTCAGCAAAAAGGGCGGTACTCTACAGACAGGAGAAATAGTTACAGAGTAAATCCCAAGGGAAACCAAGCGTATTGTTCCCAGGAAAGGCAGGACCTGCACTGATCCACCAGGCATGGGGTGATCGGGTTTCTAAGAATACAATTTGGGAACAACAGGACGATGGGATTCCAGAAAGAGGAGGCTTTCTATGTCTGAAAGAACATGATAGTATGAGCTAAACAACTAGTCAACATGAAGTCCCCCAGTTATGTGTTTAGGAGCCACTGTCCCCAAATGGTCACATCTCTCTCTTCTCCACATCTTCCAGGGGTTACTCCCACACATTTGGCAGGAGGTTGCATTGTGACACAGAAGCCCAAATGAAGGAGGCTCGGGGCTTCTCAGAGCCAGGGTTTGCACGGAATGGGGGGTGATGGTTGATTTAATGTGTCCACTTGGCTAGGCCACGGTACCCAGCTGTCTGATCAAACATCGGTCTAGATGTCACTGTGAAGGTATATTTTAGATGTGATTTAACATGGAAATCATCCCACTTTCAGAAAAGCAGATGACACTCCATGAGTTGAAAGCCCTAAAAGATGGAGGTCCCCTAAAGAAGAGGGAATGCTGCCTCCAGACAGCCTTTGGACTTGAGCTACAACATCAACTCTCCCCTGGGTCTCCAGCCTGCTGGCCTGCCTTGCAAACCTTGGAACTTCCGTGATCACATGAGCCAATTCCTGAAAATACCTTACCCCCCGCTACCCCTACACACCCTAGTGGCTCTGCTTCTCTGGAGAACTTGGACTAACACAGATGGTTTGGTTACCCCTTTGCCAAGGGACCTCCCTCAATGTGACCATCACAGCGGAGGCCCTGTCTTGGGTCTGTAGTGCTTTCTCCTGATTGTGTAGTCAGGGTGATGCCGGCTCTAAGGGGACTTGAATCTCCTCCTTTCTTCCCCAAAGCTCCACTTGCTTTCTGGGAATCTGAATTTAAGCCATCCCTAAAGGCAGAAGTCAGTAATGGAAGAAGCTGCGTGAGGCAAGCCAGCATTGCCACATTGTAACTAGAAGCCGAGCTCTTTCTCAGGATCAAGAACCCATGGCCCACGGAAAGGCCTCTGAGTCCAGGAGCCAGTCAGAAGGCAGAGGCTGGAACCTTTCAAACTTCTGTCCTGTTTCCAAGGGGACCTGCTGGCACCACACACCGCTGGCAGAGCATGGGGACAGAACTCCCGCCCTGCACTGCCCACCTCTCACCTTTCTTGCCATGATGAGGCCCGAAGGTCTATGCTGGACCTTGGTGACTACCCCGCCGTTCCCGGCTCCCAGCTCCGAGATCCTTTCAAAATCATCGTCCTTGAGCTCCCCGACCTTGGCTTTCTGGGTGAGGAAGGCTTCTAGCCGCTTCTTCTGCTGCTCATCAAGCTCTAGCTCCTCTAGCTTCTTCTGGAGGTCCACCAAGTTTGCTCTGCAGAGACCCCAAGGGCAAGGGTTAATGAAGAGTGTGCAAGCTGCCGAAATGACTCAATCTGAGCCAAGGGTAGTTAATGTGTGGCTGCTACACACCAGGCCCCGGATTTGCAGCCAGGAGGACACAGAGATGAATCAGACCTGATTCTTGGGTGGAGGGGCCTATGATCTAGCAGGAAAGAAAAGACCTCCTGCAGACACACAGCTGACCAGAAGAGAAGGCCGGCTCCCTGAGAGCTGAGGCCACAGCCTCTGTTCCCACTCACAAAGGTTAGGAGACCTCAGGACCCAGAGGACCAGCTCTGGTTCAATGGCACTGGTATCAGACCCAGGAGCCCTCCTTACTGAAGACCACACTGGAAGGAAACATGGAGCTGACGGCAAGACTGGGGATCAGGCGAGTGAAGGCCCAGGCCAGGATACTTGTCTTCACAAGGACGAAGGAGCAAACTCATTTTGAGTGGCCTCAGAGCAAAGAGCAAGAACCAATGGGCAGAAGACAGAAGTTGTAATTTATATGAATTACACATGGGCTCTGGAAGGGAGAAGGAGAGAGGCCTAATTTAAACAGTGGAGACAATTCCAGGGCATTCCACTCAACCAGCATGCTTGTATTATATCCTGAGCACCACTATAAACATTAGCCATTTATACACACACATTCCTGGACCCAGTTATTTAAAAACCCACCACGTACATTGTATTTTATTTGGCGATTTAAGGCATCTTCAAAGGAAATTGTGACAATCAGCTTTTTTCACTAATGCCTTGACTTTTTTTTTTTTCTTTTTTAATGCCTTGACTTTTAATCAAATCCTGGAGTAAAAGCAGCTCCCTGTAACAGGCCAGCAGACATTAGCTCCATGCACACAAAAGCTAACCCAGTGCTGTCCAAGACAGAATGTAAGCGACATGTGCAATTTAAAATTATCTAGCCACATTAAAAAAAATAGTAATAATAAATAAATAAATAAATATATATACTAAGTGAAATTAATTTTAACATATTTGATTTAACCCATCAGAAATGTAATTTTCAATGTGTAATCAAATAAACAAAATGATGAATATTTATTTTACTTTTTTCAGATTGTCTTTGAAATCTATTGGGTTGTCGGAAAAATCATGATGTATTTTTTCTGTTTTTCGTTGCAAAAATGTGTCATGACTTTTCCGACAACCAAACAGAACTCACGTCATACAGCTCACCTAAATTTGGACAAGCCACATTTCAAGTGGCTACTGCACCAGACAGTGAGGGCAGCTCTGGGAACTAAGTCTCTATAGGAGAATGGACCATCTAGGGGCAGTCCTCAGTCACCAGTTCCTGAGGGTGGTTAAGCCAGGGTTGACTGCCCACCTGGGAAGACCTCATAGAGGGGATTCTAGCAGGGGATAAAGGGGAGCCTGGATGTTTTCTCAGGAACCTTCCATCCCCAAGTGACCATGACTCGCCTACTACATCTTAAAGAGGTACAAGCAAAGGGGCACGCAGGCCAGGAGTGAGATGACCTGCCACTAGGCGATGTCACCTGAGATGGTACTGCAAAGAGGTAACTGGAAGGCAGGGGGTGGGTGTCATTTCCTGAGCAAGTACCAGAGCTTTACAAACACCATCACACCACTTTGTTTAATTTTCATGATCCTCCTGGGAGGCAGGTACTTGTAGACCCAGCCCACAAAGGAGAGCACAGGTCCAGAGAGTAATTAATTAGCCCAAGGGTCACAATCAAAGGAAGTGGCAGTGCCTACAATCAAACCTGTGTCCTTCCTGATTGCACAACCTGCGCTTATGGTCCCTGATCATCACAGTGTCCCCTTGAGCCAGGATGGGGGCTTAGTAGGTGTTCACTGAATGCCTGGTCCACCAAGGTCTGGATGAACAAGGAATGAGGACTCTGATGGATGGAAGAGGGGAGGCAAAGGAATGAATGGATGTGACACGGTTCCTCACTGTAGTTGAGAGGTAGCTTTTGAGACCAGTCTCTGGAAGGTCTCCAGCACTGCTCTATGACATCTAAAATGCATTCTGGAGTCAGCTGATTAATCCATTTTAAATTTAATGGCAACTCAACTGTGGTTATAAAAAACCCTGGAATCTCAATGGCTGGCTTCCTCTACTGGAGGAATTTTTGAAGGGATGGAAATCAGATACCACATAAAAGAAAGAAAAGAGAATATGAAGAAAGAGCTGTCCTGTAAGAATAGGAGTGGATTTTTGAGTATAAGGAACACGTACGTCCCACGTTGAGCTATGTGCTTGGAGACAGAGAAAGATGTCAACTAGTACACATAAATATCAAGACTCCTCCTTCATCTGGGTCGCAGAAGGCCAAGTCACCTGAGAGGCGCCAAATGTGCAATTCACCCATCACACCTGGTTCTCATGGGGTCACACCACAAGTACAGCAAAGGGACCCTGGACAGAGGCCTCTGGGAGTGTCCTGCGCTGCTCCACCATTGCAGAACAGGAGGCCATAGAAACTCTGGAGCCAAGCAGTCACCCTGGCATGACCTCACATGCATGTTTTCCTTAACACTGAGTAACCCCACCACCCCAGATGCTCCTTTCTCTGTCCCCTTTCCCACAAGTCCTCCTGTCTCACTCAATCATCTCAAATCCTCAAACTGCCAGCACTTCTCCAGCCCCAGGAGGCTTTGCTAATCTATTCGATTCAGAATCGCTGCTCATCTATGGTCAGGGGTCCCAGCAGCAACCCCCAACCCCGTTTCTTTCCTCTATGGTCCCCTTTTTCCCCCCACATCCGACTCTTCCAAATCCCCCTCACTCCCAGCTTCCTCAGCCTCCTGCTTCCTCACCACTCTCCCAGCTTCAGGGGCTCCACCGCCCCCCACCCCCGCACCCCAACTAGCAGGCTCTCCACAGGCTCCCTTCCCCCAAAACTCCCTCAGAGAGCCTCTATCTCACCACTCAGGGATCCCTCCCTCATCCTTATCTCTCAGGCAACCCTTCCCCTTGTCCTGGTCTGGTATAGAATTCCTCACTCCCAAGGATCCCATTCACCCTGTGCTGGAAATGCAAGGACCCCCTCCCTCCACCTCACTCCTCAGGGACTTCCCCCCATTTGATTTCACTACTAGAGTCCCCCTGACCCGTCCTCTCCCCTCAGTAACCCTCCCCACAACCATCACCCTGGATTCACTACTAAGGGACTCCCCCCTAATTCCCATCTCACTACTCAGTGGCCCCACACACCATCCTTTTCCTTCAGGGACCCCCTTACCACAATTTCACTATTTAGGGCTCTACACCTCGTTTTTCTCGGCAGCCCCGACCTCACTACTAGGACCCCCTTCCCACCGACTTCACCCTCTCCTCATCCTCTCCTCTCAGGACCCAGTCCCCTGACCTGGCTACTCAAGGCCCCCTCACCCCATCCCCTCCTCTCAGGAACCCCCTCCTCCCGATCTCGCTACTCATGGACCGCCCCCCCCCACACACACCCGTCCTCATCCCAGCCCCGGCCGGGCCCACTCACTCGGAGGCGCCCTCGCTGGTGGGGGACGGACCCTCGGCGATGGCGGGGTTGATAGTGAGCGCCGGCAACACCGGCTTCCTCCGGGCCAGCATCGGGGCTCCGCGGGCCGGCGGCAACGGCGCCACTAGCCGGGGCCCATAGGGGGCGGGCCGGGATCGGACGGCGCCGACGCGATTCCGGGGCTGCGACCGCGGCCTAGGCCAGCGCCGGGGCAGCAAGGGTGAGCGGCGCTGTGGGCTGGGGCCGATGGGCGCCAACGGGCGCCGGGGCTGAGGCTGATGAGCCTCTGCAAACGCCGAGGCCCGAACGAGGCTGACGCTGCAGCCGGAGCCCGGGAGGCAGAAGGCCGGGAGGGGTAGCGAGGAGACCGCGGGCCAGCCTCTCGCGAGATCCAGTTTCTGGAGCCCGCACAGCCCCGCCCCGCCCCTCGCCGCGGCGCGTGTGCACCAGGCAGAGACCGCCTCCATGGAGGAAAGGGGCGGAGACTAACCGAGGCGATGTCCCGAGGGTGCGCACTCTCTCGCCCCGACCGCTCGTGTGCGCTTCTGCCTGGGTTGCTGGGCGGCAGTGCAAGTGGAAGCTAGGTGAGAAGGCGGCGGTGGTGGGGGTGAAGAGCCTGAGCAGGTGAGGGAAGAAGCCCGACCCTCAGAGCATTGTGCGGTACCAGACTGGGACTACATGAGACACTAAAATCCCCCAAAAGTTGTGGGGGAGACAAACCAGAGTCAACTGAAGTTTTTTTGCCAATTGTGAATTCACAGCCCCTATCGCTCTTAATTACCCCCATTCTGTCATGAAAGAAAGGTCTTTTTAAAACATTTTTTAAATTGTGGTAAATATACATAACAAAATTTGCCATTTTTAAGTGTACAATTTGGTGGCATTGAGTACATTCACATTGTCGTGCAACCATCACCACCATCCGTTTCCAGAAGTTTTCCATCTTCCCAAACTGAAACTCTGTCCCAATTAAGCATTAACTTCCCACCCTCCTCCCCCAGCCCCTGACACCCGCCATCTACTTTTGTCTGTATGAATTTGACTCCCCCAGGGACCTCATATAACTAAAATCATACAGTATTTGTTCTTTTGTGTCTGGCTTATTACACTAAGCACAGTGTCTTCAAAGTTCATCCATGTTGTAGCAGGTGTCAGAATTTCCTTCCTTTCAAGGCATTTTATGGATGGACCACTTTCTGCCAATCCATTCATCCGTTGATAGACATTTGAGTGTTTTCACCTTTTGGCTATTGTGAATAATGCTGCTATGAACATGGGTGTACAAATATCTGTTCAAGTCCCTGCTCTCAATTCTTTTGGGTAGCTACCCAGAAATGGAATTGCTGGATTGTGTGGTAATTCTATGTTTAATTTTTTGAGGTGCTACCATACTGTTTTACACAGTGGCTGCACTATTTTATGAGAAAGTTCATTTTAACACCAATTTTAACAAAGGAAGGAAGTACGTGGCACAAAATAAAGGACAGTCATTTAAATGGGAATGAAAAATGAAAAATTCACATTGCTTTTCTTTTTGTCGCATCTCCCAGCACCCATATATATTTCATGGTGGGGTGGGTGTACCTTGAGAACCATGTGGGAAGAAACAGAAAGGCTCAGTCAACACTCTGTTCAGGGTTCAACCCAGGACCCCTTGTCTCCCTGACTCAATCGAGCCCACCTCTTGTCCAGCTGCCCCTGTCATTCTTTATTTTATTTTTTTTAGCTGAGCCGTCCTGCCACCGGTTGGCAGCTCGGCGGCTGCTCAGCTCAGGCTAGGAATTGAACCGCTGTTGCTCAGAGCTCAAACTCTTGAGCGAGCTCTTAACCAACTGAGCCACTCGGCTGGCCCCCCTGTCATTCTTTTAACAGTTAATTTGAAATGCCCTTTATATGCTAGATACTGCGCTGGACACCAGAGATACAATGTTTAAAAAATAGGTATACAGTGTACATATACATAGTTGCAAAATATGACAGTGCTTAAAAATGTAAAGATGTAACTATAGCCCATCCCTGATTAAAACTGCCCCCAGACATGCCTGTTCCTCACTTTCTACAATCTGGGCCTTTTGAGTTCTGCCTCGCACTGCTCACACTTAACCAAAATTCAGGAGAATGTTCAGCTGGCCTCAGATAATGCCATGACCTTTCCCAGTCCTGGGCATTTTCATCTTCCTTTTGTTTTGCAAAGTGATCTCTCTGTCATGTTATTTTATTTTAGGCTCTATATACATACCGTTATTTTTTTATTGAGCTATAACTTACATATAATAAACGCACAGTTCTTGAGTGCATTTAAAAGCTCAATTCCTTGAGCTTTCACAATTGTGTGCAGCCATGTGACTACCCAGAGGTTCCTCAGTACCCTATTCAGTTAATTCCGTTGTTCCCACCTTGCTGCCGTGTGCTGGTAAATGTTTAACAGTGGGCTTTTGAAATAGCGGGAGAGATAGAGAGTTGTAATTTGTAGCATTTGCCCACTTTTGTGGTGTAAATATTTACACCATGGCTGATTTCCAGCTACCATGAAGTTGGAAAGAATGTTAACAATAGGCTGGGAGGAGCCAGGACAAGCTGGCTGCACACCACTACCCTAAATTCTGATTTCCGTCCCCACAGACTTATTTTGCATGATCTAGAGCCTCACAGAAATGGAATTGTGTGGTATGAACTCTTTTGTGTCCCCACTTCTTTTGCTCTGCACGATACTTTTGAGATTTGTCCATGTGGTTGAATCTAATAGTAATTTGTTATTTTTCCTTGCTATATGCTATTCCACGATGTGTAGGTGGGGGTGACCCTTCCCAGAGAACAGTAAATTAGTTCTTCTTGAAGAGGTTAAAGAGATTAAAGCTTTTCTAATAATCAGGATTTTCAGTTTTCCTCAGTTCTTATTTGGGGGTCTCAGCTCACATGCCAACTTTTCTATAAAGTCTGATTCTCCCACATCCTGCTAATTCCCTACTTCTTGGCATTCCCAGTGCACCCTGTTTATTCCTGGTTGATGGCTCATGCTGCATTCTGATTCACATCTCTGTTCTTTCATTATGCCTTCCCTACTCATTATGAATGTTTTGAGGGCATAAAGATGTTGGATTTGTCTTTCTCTCCCTATCCTTGGATATGGTTGAAGCTTCACATATATGTGGTGTGAGCAAAAAATACGATGAATGCTGCTGCTGAGTGCCATCCAGTGGAAAGGCAGGGATCTTCAATACGGGAAGTGGTGTTGAACCTTAGTAACAGCTTTTCAACTTGTTTGGTGCAGTCATTCGGGTGTGAGCTACTGTTGAGAGAAGGTGTGACTTTAAAGTGTGCTGTAGGGCCGGCCGTGTGGCACATAGGATAACAGTTGGCTTGGGATGGGCCAGCCATGTGGCGCATTGGTTAAGAGTTGGCTTGGGATGGGCCGGCCGAGTGGCGCATTGGTTAAGAGTTGGCTTGAGACACCAGCTCTGAGCAGCAGGGCCCTGGTTCAGATCCCACATCTGAGGGCCAGTGACACTGTGCCCTCTACAGCTAAGATGATGAACAATAGCTCCACCTGGAGCTGGGCTGCTGTGAGTTGCTGGCACTGGTGTAGGCTGCAGTGGGGTTGGCTGGCAGCTGGCATGCACTTTCGTGAGCTGCCGTGAGCTGCCGTGAGTGGCTGTCCAATGGCCGGCGAGTGACTGCCTCACTCAGGAAGAGCACAATGATAATACCAACATGGGCCAGTGAAGCAACATCCTCTACAACTAGACCGAAGAACAAAAGGACAGCAATTTGTCTGTTCCCCTTCCCCAATTCCCCAATAAAATCTTAAAATAATAATAATAATAATAATAAATAAAGTGTGCCATAAATCATGGATCACGAACAACAAATTAACATGAAATGGGCAATTTCATCCTCCATCATGACAATGCTCTGTTTCACACATCGCTCCTGGTACAGCAATTTCTGTCAAATAAAAACATTATGGTGTGTCCTCATCCACCTTATTCACTGGGTCTGGCACCGTGCAATTTCTGGCTCTTCCCCAAAGTCAAATAGACCGTGAAGGGTAAATGTTTTGAATCGAATCAGGACATCAAGGCAGCCATGACAGCGCAACTAAAGACACGAAAGAGGACTTCCAGAACTGCCTCAAAAAGTGGCAAGAATGATGGGATATGTGTGTTCAAAGTGAGGGGGAGTATTTTGAGGTGGATTAATGACAATGTGTCTTTTACTGTAATAATTTTTCTTTTTAAGCTGAGCCATCCTGCCACTGGTTGGCAGCTCAGCGGCTGCTCAGCTCGGGCTTGGAATCGAACCACCGTTGTTCAGAGCTCAAACTCTTGAGCGAGCTCTTAACCAACTGAGCCACTCGGCCGGCCCCTGTAATAAATTTTTTTATTTGACCATTCACCGTTTTGTTTTTTTTGAAGATTTTTATTGGGGAATTGGGGGAGGGGAACAGAGAACTTGCTGTCCTTTTGTTCTTCAGTCTAGTTGTGGAGGATGTCGCTTCAGTGGCCCATGTTGGTATTACCAGTGCGCTCTTCCCGGGTGAGGCAGATTGGTTGCCGGCCTCTGGACGGCCGCTCACAGCGGCTCTTAGCAGCTCACACTGGCACCGGCTGCTGGCCACTCACGCTGGCTGCTGGCCACTCACGGCAGCTTATGGCAGCCCACTGCAGCAGGGGCTGCAGCCTAGGCCGTCGCGGACTACTCACGGCATCCCAGCTCCAGTTTGAGCTCTTGTTCACCATCTTAGCTGTAGAGGGGAGCATTACTGGCCCTCATGTAGGATCTGAACTGGGGCCCTGCTGCACAGAGCTGGTGTCCCAAGCCAGCTCTTAACCAACGCGCCACTCGGCAGGCCCCGTTTTGTTGTGTGTTTTTGTTGTTGTTGTTGTTGTTTTTTAAATCACACCTCGTATATGCTACTTGAATGAATAAAATGGGTGTTCCTGTCCTTGGGGAGATGCATTTCCTATAAATCACCTGATTCTCAGTGCTTCTTATAGAACATGAGGTTTTATTATTGAGGCTACAGTACAGACGTATGCCCTCTAACTCCTCTATCTTTATTAGCAAGTGCAGTTTGCTCCACAACCTCTCCCTGTTACATATCTCTCTACTTATGATTGCTTCCAATCACATCTTTCTTAGTACATTTGTTCCCTGGTCCCTAAAACGCTCCCCAAAGCTAATAAATTTCTAATAGTTTTGTTGATAGATGCAATCCAAGGTGACATTTGCCTTATTTAGGCAAAATCTAATATTAATATCACATGCATACATGCTTTCTATCTTGAAATGCACCCTGAACTTTATCTCTCTCACCTTTGCTGTGGATTAACTGAAAGAATGGCTGACCTGACCCCACTGGGAAGCAATTTAACACTATCTTGAATACCTTACAACCCGGG